AAGGGGGCTTCCAAGAAAGATGGGGACAGACATTTTCGCAGGGCCTGTAGCAATAGGACATGGGGTAATGGTTTTAAATGAAAAGGGGGTGGATTTAGACTAGAGATAAGGAAGACATTTTTGACAATGAGGGTGGTGAAACCCTAGCACATGTTGCCCAGAGAGGTGGTGGATGCCCCATCCTTGGAAACATTCAAGGTCAGGTTGGACAGGGCTCTGAGCAACCTGACTGAGTTGAAGACGTCCCTGCTTATTGCAGGGGCATTGGACTAGACAGCCTTTGAAGGTCCCTTCCAACCCAAACCATTCTATGATTCTATGATCTTACTTTCTGGTGTGACCTCCCATTAGCCAGGGGAACACCAGGCCTGCCGTAGGCTGCAGCTCACACCTCAGAGGCCACAGCAGATGGTAGTGCCTCGGCAGCCAGCACAGGGCTGTCAGGCTGCTGCCAAGGGCACAGTAACACACGCCCCTGCCTGCTAAACCTCCCCGGGGGCCTGCAGTCTGGCTGCGCCCACTGCTGATGGCTCACACCTGTGTGAACCTCGCACTACCTGCATTTGCACTAGCAAAGCTCTAGTGACTGACGAGCACTTAAATCTTCTTGAATGCACAAACTAGGTGTTCCCTGAACTTACTTAGGGGCCAAACTCAAGGGTATACCCAACGCAGACTCACAGGAAGGTACTAAAACACATCAGTCTTCATTTTTTGAATCAAAAAAGGATTTAAGACAATAACAATGCTGTTGGAAACATGGCATAAAGCCACAAAATGAGATTGGTCCCAATGACTGCTTCCCTCCTACCCTGAGTGTGCTGCGGAGTGTCTGTAGTTACAGTATCAGGAGGACACAGTATAAAGTTTCTTCACAACCTAGATTAGTTCTAAGCAAGTTTTGATTAACCTATTTTACTTTAAAATAAATGCTTGCATCAAAGCAGCCCTTTGAGCATCAGCAGTTCTTGAAATTTAGAAGGCATCATCTCATTTTGAATGTCTGACAACACATCAGAAGCACTGTGAACAGGTAGAAGGATGACACATGGAAAAATAATTTAGATAAACCTGAGTCATTACCTTGGCACTATGATACAGCTTTATTCATTGTAACGCTTTAATTCTTCCTTGTTTCACAAACAAAACCCAATGTAAACATAAGCGGTTGTATCGCAGACTACAAGACTATTAACTGTCTTCCGTATTTCAACTAAGGAACTTTCTATGATGCAACGGAAGTTAGTTCCAAGGCTTTCACATTCATACTATTGTTGTTGTCTCTGAGAGGGAACCTCCTGGTGCTGTTATGAGAAAGAGCCACAGCTGTTGAAACCAGGCAGTGAATACAGCAGCTGTCCCCAGCACAGTGCCATTACAAGCCAGCTGAGTATCTACACAACTGGGTCAAACACCACACTCGTGCACTTCAGAAATGTGGAGCACAGGGAACTGATCTGCATCAGTGGGCAAGAATCAGCAGAGCTCAGGGAGTATTTTTTATTCAGCTTTTTATCTATAAGAAAATACCAAGGATGCGCATTGGAACAGGCTGTCCAGGGAGGTGGTGGAGTCGCTATCTCTGGAAGTGTTCAAAAAACGTGTGGATGTGGCGCTTCAGGGCACGGTTTAGGGAACATGGTGGTGCTGGATTAATGGTTGGACTTGATGATCTTGAAGGTCTTTTCCAACCTTAGTCATTCTGTGATCTTAAGACTTCCATTTGATTTATCGTTTCTTTCCTCTCCCCGCTGTCCCTACATTGCGCATGCTAGTAGTTCTGATGTTTTTCATACCTTACATCTGAGTTTGATGCAGCAAATGCTGTTTGTATAAAAAAACCTACAATTGTTAAGTTCAAAAAACAATGTGAAAAATGTCTAATGTCTAAATGTCTAATCTGAAAATGTCTGGTTCACAGACAAATGCAAACAATCCTTTTTAATGGTTACAAAATTTCAATTTCAGACACTCCCCTTTATGGCAATATCATAAAAAATAACTGTTTCATTGCTCTACACAGAATGGTATCCCACCCAGTTTTCAAGGCACAGTTTCTATGGGCAGTTATTTGTCATAACAAAATTCGGAAAAAAAATGAATTATATTACAAAGTTTTATAAGTTCTCTCTAAAGAGCAAAGGTAATCTTCTGTAAAGTATTAATTTTACATCAGCTACATTCTAATGGCAGTTTAGAGGAAGTTCACAACACAATGTCCAACTATTCTGTCATATCTTCACAGTTGGTTGCAATTTGTTTTTTTGGTAATATTTAAAAGGCAATTCTGCCAAGTGTTAAAGTGTCAAGAGCTTGTGCCAACACTATTCACAGACATGACCATAAAAAGAATCACCTTCCAAAACCAAGACTAGTGTAGTCTCAGTCAGGAATAATTTGTTCATGAGCTTGTCAAGGTCTGCAGTATTCAAAATGTCAACCGCAATGAAATCTTAATCTTTAAGAACGCTCACTAATGGGCAAAAGACTAAGCTTTCCATTTTTCTGTTGAAATCAATTCAGTTGATTCAATTCTTATCAAGGAGGTTTTAATTTTTAATGGCAGACTTCAGTTTACGGATAGACAGCTGAAGTGTATTCAAGAAGTAGCTTGCCTCCTGCCATAACTACAGACTGAAAGGAAGAAGAAGATGGGTAAAGGAGGGTGGGCAGGGGCTGCTGACACGACAGTTTCTTAGAAGAGGCATGCGCCCTCACGTTCAAAAAAACTCTTTCAAGAAGCTTAGCTGCTTAAACTCAAGAACACTGTATAATATTGGTTGACAACTCCTCTCCCTACAACGCAGGAAGAAGCAACATTCACTGTTACTCCATTCAGTGTTCTCAGTTCTTAAAACAATACTTGTTATGAGATGGGTCTTCTAGAATTATAGACTTTAACACCATTCTGCATTGAGGAGCGAGCATATTTTGTCAGAAGAGCACCAACTGTCTGCTTCTCAGCACATAAGTCTCTATAGAGGAAATAAAGCAGATGACATTGGCATTAGACATATTCTCTTACAAAATGAATCTGTGAAATACTTGTAAATACAGCAATAAACTGGATTAGGGTATTGGGGAAAAAAATACTACAGTAACTGTCACATAATGCTTTAAATTACCTAAAGCTTAGAACTTGGCTTGACATTTAAGCAACAGGCAAAACTACGTTATTTACTACAGAAATGAGGATTTTGGGTTTTTTGGGGGTTGGTTGGTTTTTATTATTACTGTTCAACAGCCTGCAACAGGCTTCCTTACAGTATTTCCTTGTAGTGCTGCAGTTCCTTATGGCTCTTTTGCTGTGGTTCTCTGGGTAAGATACAGTACTGAAAACCATGAGAAGCTTACAGTAAACCACATCATAGAATCATAGAATAAGGGGTAACAGTTTTAAACTAAAGGAGGGTAGATTTAGACTAGTTATAAGGAAGAAATTTTTCACAATGACGGTGGTGAAGCCCTGGCACAGGTTGCCCAGAGAGGTGGTAGATGCCCCATCCCTGGAAACATTCAAGGTCAGGTTGGACGGGGCTCTGAGGAACCTTATAGAGTTGAAGATGTCCCTGCTGGACTAGACGGCCTTTAAAGGTTCCTTCCAACTGTTCTGTGGTTCTGTGAGTCTCTAAAGGGTTTTCAATCTAGCAAACCAGTTACCTTTGAACTACTTAATTATGCTACATTTAGAACCACTCATAAAAGTTTGATGCCGTTACTCCTGGGTTACCATCTATATCTGCTCACATGTATCCTGGCTGGGCCTTCCAGACAGCACCGTAGCATAAGTGTTAACCACCAAGAGAGCAAAGGACGCAGTACAGGAAGCACTATTGCTCTATATTTCTTGAGTTCTAAATATGGAACCTGATTACAACTGTCAGGAGGTTTATGTCTGCCTCATTGAGTTAAGCCTGCCTCAAACAAGACGACAGTTATCACCTGTTTAAATTCAGTAGTATCAGCTCTTTATAGAAGTTTAAATCCAATGGATATAGCTACAGTTCCCAGTGGCAGGGATTCTATTAATATAGAATTTGTAGTCATTTAAGATGGGAAGTATAGTATTTGAGGCAATCATAACTATTAAGAAGTCAGTTATGCAAAAAGGGAAGAATATAACACTAATTATATTTTAATAAAAATAAATATAACCTTACTCTATATAAGGGGTAATATCCACTTCTGTCCACTTTTCCCGTATGCTGAATAAGCTGTTGAATCTTTCCTGATTGTCTTCAGGTAAGTCTTCTACTTTTAGCAGAAAGATGGTCTCTGGTCTTGAGCTTTTATCCACAAGAGCCAAGCCCTGTAGATCAGCATCAGAGAGAAAGTGTTAAGTAATGACAAAATAATTAAAATTGCTTCTTTTTGGCAATAGTCCATTCAAGTTGCCCTTTGCACCTCCAAAGCCTTCTAAAACTGCACTACTAGAGGCAAAGTGAAAAAGTATCATAAAAATGCTGTTTTACAGGCAGTATTTATCATTTCCTTTATGACAAGAAGGGAGAGGGAAATCTCTCTGCCTCCTTTGAGCAGAAGGATTTTCACAATGCTTGCTACTCTGCTGGCTGTCACTACAGTCTGCTTGACAATAGCTTCAGCTTCTGTTCTAGTTACATTTACAAGTATTAACTGTACAGCTGTAACTTCTCTTCAAACAGTGAAACGTGCCAGGCTTAGAGAAACCTGAATTGTCATGATTCCAGACTACTGATGCTCATAGGGGATGTTATAAGAAGTATTTTAACTCAAAAGTTGACAGAATTAACACAATCAATACCCATTAATCAATAAAATCTACATGACACAAGTCAGCAGCCTACTCATGAAAGAATCCATACTTCTTTATGTTTTTACCTTAAGCTGATCGAGCCTTGTTGTCATCCCTTCAGGGACACTTTGTTGCCAGACTTCTTGAAATTCTGATAGATTGAATTTAACTGCATTTTGCAAAAGCATTTGTGCTATAGCTCTGCATATTTTATCTTCACGCATTTCAAAGTAAATGTCCCCTGCTGGGAAACAAAAACCAATATATCTTGGGTTCTTGCTTTTTGATAAAAGAACAGACAACAGCCTTGTATTTCCATCCAGTTCTATAGCCTTCTACAACCCAAGTATCCTGTTTTTTCCTTTTCCTCAGGGAATAACCTGAGCTGGTATTACTTTGGATAAATGATGATATCTTCTCATTCTCAAGAACAAATTATGCAGAATATTATGTGTGTGTGCAGCACTATCAGAGCTACAGTACTTCTTCATATCAATAAATGTATTTGCCTTCCATCTTTTCCCCTTTCACTGTAACACTGTTTCTTCTACAGCTTTCATTCTGATTTCTGAATGGCTTGTATTAAAGTGTTTGCTGTCTGCAGTTGAACAATTAAACAAAACTTTCACTTCCTTAATCATCCTTCGAATATGAGATGATGAAGGGAATAATGAGAATTTATTTTCTTTCACACTGACTTAGCTAAAATTCCCTGAACTACATCAGGCATAAACACTTCCTTCCACTTTTTTAGTCATCTGGACTGTCTGCAATTCAAACTTGTTCCTTGTGCAACCTTCCCTAAATACACCAAGAAGACAATCTCTGTCACTCCAACTACTTTCCTGTGTCCCTTAAGGTTGAGTGCAACTTCTACTTTAGCCAAAGGTGAGATGATTTTGACCTTAAAAGGTCCCTTCCAACCCAAAGATTCCATGATTCTCTGGAAAGCAACTGTGGGGAAGAACTCAGATTGAGATTAAGGCACTGAAATATTATGTCTATATGTGAGATGGGCAACAGAGATTTAATTAACAAAATCAATGGATCCTGTGGTGTAGTTCAAGGGACCAAAGGCAGATGTCTACTTCAGGCAAGCTGAATTCAGGGAGATCTATATGCCATTGACTATTCACAACAGCACAATTAATTGCTCAAACATCTGAGACCTCCTAGGGTATCTAAAGAGAAATTCCATCTAAATTTTACTAGTGATCTCTCTTCAGTCATAAAATTATAGCTTGTAGACACCTAATAAATCACTTCAGCTATCTCTGATGGTTCCTAATTTTTCCCTAGTGGCTTGTACAGTTTAACAGTCCTTTTCCTATTAAACTTTCTCTAACAATTTTACTGATTTTTAGCTTACTGTTTGCTCCCTTTTACTGGCATTGCAGCAAATTCATTTGTTTGGGCCACTCTCACAAAATCTGCTTTTACTCACGAATAACTATGTCCTTTATGCAAAATTAAAATATGCATGCTTTCCCAGACTTACCATCATCAGTGTATTTCCTTCCATAGCTTAAAAGAATATGTTCTATCATATCTCTGAAAAAAAAAAAAAAATCAGAAATCAAGGTTTAAAACTGTTCATTAGGACATTACAGAAACCAAGATGATGAAGGAACAGGTAAAGCAAAAATCAAGAAGGGAGAATGGGGTAAGTCTTCATGGCTGAAATGAACAAATCAATAAAAACTCAGAAGTTAAAAGAGAACAAAACAGGACAAAAAAAAGACACATGGGACTTAATTCAGCGTGTCATCCCCAAAAGTCTCTTCCTCTTTCTAGTTCTAACTAGCAAAGACTAAAAGGCATACAGAGAATAAGGAAAAGAGACTCTTGCAATGTCACTTCTTTCCAAATTGAAACACTAGTCTCAAATTTGGCAGTTATTATCACTTACTGAATAGCAGGCCTTTTTCTAGATCTCTGGCATAAAATTACAAACTAACTGCAGAAACTAACACTAAAAGAAGATTTATTTTTGAGCCAAAAGCAAAATCCATGGAAAATGCTACATACTGTCAACTTAAGACTTTGTTTGAACGGTAATCTTAAATTATTTCATGACTCCAAATGGCAGTACAATAAACTCAACTTTGAAGATCTGAATTCATTATTGTACCAGAAAACATACAACCATCTCAGACATTACGCAAGCAGTAAAATAAACATTTTTGGCTACCTTCAGAACAAGTATTTCAACATAGTCAGCAATTTGCAGCATAAGTACATGCTGCTTCCATCACTTAAAATTCAGCTGTGATGTTTCATAGAATCATAGAATAGTTTGGGTTGGAAGGAACCTTTAAAGGCCATCTAGTCCAACCCCCCTGCAGTGAGCAGGGACATCTGCAACTTGATTAGGTTGCTCAGAGCCCCGTCCAGCCTGACCTTGAATGTTTCCAGGGATGGGGCATCTAACACCCCTCTGGGCAACATGTGCCACTGTTTCAGCACCATCAGTGTGAAAAATTTCTTCCTTAGGTCTAGTTGAAATCTACCCTCTTTTAGTTTAAAACCATTACCCCTTGTTCTATCTCTACAGGACCTGCTAAAACATCTGTCCCCATCTTTCTTGGAAGCCCCCTTTAAGTACTGTAAGGCTGCAGTAAGGTCTCCCCAGAGCCTTCTCTTCTCCAGGCTGAACAACCCCAACTCTCTCAGCCTGTCCTCACAGCAGAGGTGTTCCATCCCTCTGAGCATTTTTGTGGCCTCCTCTGGACCCACTCCAACAGGTCCATGTCTTTCCTGTGCTGAGGGCTCCAGAGCTGGACGCAGGCTCCACGTGGTGTCTCACCAGAGCGCAGTAGAGGGGCAGAATCACCTCCCTCAACCTGCTGGCCACGCTGCTTTGGATGCAGCCCAGGATACGGTTGGCCTTGTGGACTGAGCGCATACTGACGGCTCATGTCCAGCTTTTCATCCACCAGGACCCCCAAGCTCTTCTCGGCAGGGGTGCTCTCAATCCCTTCATTCCCCAGCCTGTACTGATACCAGGGGTTGCCTCAATCCTGGTGCAGGACCCTGCACTTGGCCTTGTTGAACCTCATGAGTTCCAAACGGGGCCATTCCTCGAGCTTGTCCAGGACCCTCTGG